TGGGGATGTTAATAGTAGAATTCAAGTTGGTTGGTTGAAGTGGAGGAATGCTTCGGGCCTTTTGTGTGATAGAAAAGTACCGCTAAGACTGAAAGGAAAATTTTATAAGATGGTGGTGAGACCTGCAATGCTCTATGGCGCTGAATGTTGGCCTTTAAAAGAGAAGCATAATAATAAGTTAAGTGTTGCCGAGATGAGAATGATTAGGTGGATGAGTGGCTTTACACTTAGAGACAAAATGCGGAATGAATATATTCGTGATAGGGTTGGTGTAGCTCCTGTGACAGACAAAATTAGAGAAAGTCGTCTTAGATGGTTTGGTCATATTAAACGTCGACCATTAGATGATCCGATTAGGAGAGTAGATGTTTTAAATTCGACTTGTGTTAAAAAAGGCAGAGGTAGACCTAGGAAGACTTGGGCTTATTGTATTAAAAATGATCTTAATTTACTAGAACTAAATGAAAATATGACACTAAATAGGACGCAATGGAGAAAAAGGATTCATGTAGCCGACCCCACGTAGTGGGATTAAGGCTTTGTTGTTGTTGTTGTTGTTTCATTTTCTTGATCTAAGGATTTAATTAAGTAAATGTGGTTTATAACCAAAGCAATTTAGGTTTTCAACGAAAAGAAGTGCACTAAAGATAAATAGCCAAAACTTTAACTGAGGATAAATAGCAAAAATTTTAACAAAATGGTTACCATAATTTAGAATAAGCACTTCACAACAATCAATGGGAATAAATGATTCATAAAATATGCTGAAATCCATTGCCATCAGAAGAAATATAATTTGATTGAACAATTTGATTTTGTTAAAATTTAAGTACCAAACTATGAAAGACTGTAGAACTTCACCTTCTTCAGCCTGCGGTGCTTCGCAATGGCCCAATTCGACATAATAATGGTAGCAGCCAAAAGAAACAAGTAACCAGCCACCGTTTGAGTTGCAACATTGAACCCAACCCACTGGTAGATCTCCGTCGTGTAGTTCGCACATGTTACAATGTTAAACAAGAAACCGCGAGGGATTTGATAACCTCCATTGCCATCAGAACTTCTGAGGTTCTTCAAAATAATATGGCAGTACAAGTTTGAGAATTGGCAGAGCAAGCCAAAACCAAAACCAATCTTCCACTGTAATTCGCTCACAGGAGTGTAAAGTGGGTGATTAACATAGTAAGCAATGTATGTCCCAAAAGTCCAGTAATAGGCACAGTTTCTGAACACATTTGAGAGAGGTGAAGTAGCATGGCTGAATCTATGGATGAAGAAAGTCTCCATGATGCGTTTAAAGTAATGGAAGCACCAGTAATACATGGCATAGGTCTGGACAGGATGGATCACTCGCTTTTCCTCATAACCAAAATATTTGTATACTGGAAAGAAGTAAAAGATGGGATAGATGACTAGAGGACCCAAATATTCACAAAAGAAGAGTGTTCTATATGACACTTGTGGGCCCAAATCCTTGAAAACAACTGTGACACTTTTTGCATTTCCATCAAAATAATCTGAAAGGCCCTTTGCAGAATTGAGTGCAACAGGTTTTTTATGTTCTCCAGTCTGTAAAGGGAGGGTAAGCCGCTGCCGAGCAGGATAGAGCTTTTTGACTGCAACATGTGAGAGAAAGTTGTGTTAACAAATAAAATTGAGAAGTCCCGCGGAACAACGAGAGATATGGGATGCAGCAAGCTACAGATTCATAAAGTTCCCTCAGGGTATGTATGATTTGCTGATATCTATTGAATTATGCTTAAGTTATTAGGAGACGTCAACCATTTTTAGGGTTTTTCCAGCATGTTTAGATAACAAAATTTCCTGATAATAGGTCATAATTTGGTGGCATGTATTGTATTAGAGGCTTATTTGTAAAAAGTGGTAAAGTTACTTGTACGACAGTTTGTTGATATCTATTGTATGATGCGTTCACTTAAAAGGCTTACTAGTAAAGTTACTTGTATGACTGTTTTTTGTCATTAACAACAAAGCAATAAAACTAAAAAAATTTCATTCTAAGATAAGAGGAACAAGTCTTTTACATAGATAAGGTAAATTGTAGTTGTACTAATTTAATAATTTCGATACTTTTCTTTTGATCTTTCTTAACTCGTTCTTGTAAGTAATGACTTAGGTCACTTTGACGTATCAAATGTTTAATTTCTTCTTTTAAGCAAATGCAACTATCTGTTGAATGTCATTTTCAACAGTAAAAATGAAAATATTGAGATTGACCCACATTGTTTAGATTTTTTATTGGCTTTGGTCACTTAAGGTATTCAAAATTTTGAATCTCCATTAAATATTACTTTTAAATGTGTTCAATAGAGTATGATTGAATGTCTCAGATTGATAGCATTTTTCATCTATTGACTTTGTTTGATTTCTTCCATAGAAGGTTTGTGCAAGCTCTCCAAGAGTGTGTTTGCGTTTGTAAGAAGATTGTTCAAATTATCCTTGATGTGCATTAACAGCTTCATCAGCAGTGATTTGAGCCTCGACATGATGGATGAGGTCAGTGTATGAGTGAAATATCTCTTACATTAATAATGGGTAAAATGGCTCAGACCATAATCCTCCCAGAAAAAAAAAAACCTCTTAAGAAGTCTGGATCTACTCCTAAATTTCGATGAGTTTTGATAGAGTATGATTAAATGTCTCAAATTGATAGTGTTTTTCATCTATTGACTTTATTTGCTTCCTTCCATGGAGGGTTGGTGCAAGTTCTCCAAGGGTTTGTTTGTGTTTGTCAGAAATTTTTTCAAGCTGTCTTTGATGTGCATCAAGAGAGCAAACCACTTCTTGCATAGAAGTAACCCTCCCAAGAAAACAACTCTCAAAAACTATGGATCCACTTTGAAATTTAATGAGCCTTAGTAGCGTATGATTGAATGTCTCAGATTGATAGTGTTTTTCATCTATTGACTTTGTTTGCTTCTTTCCATGCACACAAGAGTGTGTTTGTGTTCGTTAGAAGAATTTTCAAATTGTCTTTGATATGCATTAATAGCTTCATTAGCAGTGATTTGAGTCTCAACACGATGAATGAGGTCGGTGTATGAGCGAACTATCTCTCACATTAATAATGAGTAAAAGGATCCACGAAGTAACCTTCCCAGAAAAACACCTCTTAATAACTCGGGATCTACTTCTAAAATTTGAGGAGCTTCGATAGAGAATCTTTGAAAATATTCTTTAAGTGACTCTTCTTTATTTTGATAAATTCTAGAAAGATAAAGAAGCATCTTTGATAATCTTTCGATTTACTATAAATTATTCCATAAAGAGTCTAGCAAGTTCATCGAGATTATGAATAGTTCCTATTGAGAGTGAATAGAGCCAAATACACGCCTGACATTTGAGGGTGGCAAAAAAAACTTAACAGAAGAGTGCATCAAATTGTTGTAGCTGCATGGCGGTTCTGTAAACAATGTGTTCATATGGGCCCTCAGTCTGATCATAAAAGTCAATTATTAGAAGCTTGAATCTTGCTGAAATGGAGTGTTGGAGGACCATATCAGTTAGTCAAAGGAGAACTACAACGAATAAGAACATATTTTTTTGTCTCTTAAAAAAAGTTATTCAATCATACATTGCAGCTCATAATAAATTATATGATGTGATTGAGCTAAGTTCCCCAAGAGTGTTGAAAGGTTGTTATTTGATTTGGTTGTACGAGATGGATTAGCAATATCTAGGAGGTCAGCTTCTTGACCCAGCTAACGAAAAACTCTAGAATGAGGAGGGGATGTTAGAGTATCCTCTATTTGGGGATCTCCTGAGGTAAATGAACATCACCCATTTGTGCTAATGCAATTGTGGCTTCATGCAAAATTTGAAGAATTTAATTTTGAGATTCATTCATTCTTTGCATGCGGACATCGATGGGTAAAGTAAAAAACATTTTCACCAGCATGATGATGTGCATTGTTGGGAAACTCAGCGAAGGTGTGGTGTCATGGACTTTGAGCTTATACAAGGGAATGACGGGTGTTTGAATGAAAAACTCGTGTATTGCACTTATTAGCCATCAAAGAAGTTCAAACTTTTATCAATGAAATTTCGCTCCCACATATGGCGTTAAACTGTTACGTGCAGAAAAATTCACAATAATAGAGTGATAAATTAATATTTTAACATTGCACAGAGATCCAATATATAAATAAATAAATAATAGTTGGAGAAGACATTAAAAAGTTTTATGTAGAAAAATTTGGAAATATAAAAAATCATGGAGACTTGCCCAATCGAAATGAACCGTTATAAATGTGTAAGCACAAAGATACACTATATTCTTGTAACTAAATAACGGAGTTATAATTTTATATCAGATACAACACTTGTCGGTATACAACGAACAAGAAATATAGATGTTAGGAACAACGTCATATTTTGGTTATGAACTTTGTAAGCAGTGATGGTAGCCGGTGGCTGGTAGAGACGGGTGTTGACAGTGCTTGGCAACTACGGAGGCTATAACTTATCCTTGAATTTCCAATACGACGTTATACATTATTGCAGTATTTGGGATACAATGTTAGCAAGCAGGTATCGTCGCTAGCAGCGAGTAAGGGCGGTCGACGACTACGTAAACTGGAAATTAACTTTGGATCTTCAATACGGTATTACGCATTACAACTGTATTTGGGGTACGACTTTAGCAATAAGGGGTTACCGACGAAGACAAGTAAGGATTGTCGAAGGCATACGATAGCAACCGATGGGCAGTGGTTGATTGTAGTTGATGGCTACAGAGGCTGAGAGTTATTGTCGAGTCTTTAATCCAGAATAAACTTTGAAATTTCTTCTCCTCTCTTCATTTTGTTTTCCTGTGAATAGAAGCGGCTATGTATAAACTATGGATGGGCACTATAGTCGTTTGGCGAATAACTTCCTCAACCACACGCTCGAATGCCTCATTTTGATATCTCTTGATTATATGAGTTTTTTTTTATAATTTGAGTGTCCTGATAACCTCAAAATTAAATGATCTTGAGTTCGTTGTATTTCCCTGGTCTATATGCTCTATTTGACTATAAATATGTCAAATTTGGAGTTCATTTTATCATTCAATAGATCATGCAACAGATGATCCAAAATCGAGTTTGTCTTGTTGAGGCAGTCAGTTTGACTATAAACTTATTAAAATTCAGGTTTTGGATGATCTTGAATCTGAATTTGAAATATTTATTATTCAAAAAATAGATTGAGATTTTTGTTAGATGATAAAAATTAATTGGTGAAGCATCAAAATGATTAACAAAACGCATAGTAAAATCGTACTTTCCAGCAAGTAAAATGAACGTGTCCTTATATTTCATTACAACAGTGAGTAATCACAGCAAGCCGAAAGAGAAACTGCTCAAACAAATGAAAAGATTAACCGAGCAAAGCCAGAATTTATCCACAACAATTCGTTGACCCCAATCTAAAAGCACTTAGAAAAGTTAGTTAGGTCAAGCACTTACTCCGTGAGTGAATCGCCAGCTGCAGATCGCTCACAGTCGCCTGTAACCAAACAAAACAACAAATATCTCAGATCCAATTGGATACATTCCTCATACATAATGCGATAATCATCTCCCCGAACACAAAGCAACGACCAATCAAGTTTCATGGACACAATATCAGCAAGTTACTAAACAAAACATTGACAACAACCCATTTTTTTGCACCAAGAGAAATCAAGGAGAAAAACCGCCATACCGAAGCATCGAGCTCGATTCCGCCCTTGATTATTTCTCTGCCGCTGCGAGAAACGACGGTGATCTTCATCTTGCCCAGATCTGAAGTAGAAGTAACCTCGTCAAAAGGGAAAAATATCGAACACGTTCTAATCCGGATGCGCTTTGCAAGAAAATGGAACGAAGGATATAAGAGAGAGATATCGGTGCTGTTGGTTTCGCTGCCTCTCTGTCGATTTTAATGGCGATATGGCTTAAAGTGGCTTTCTTGCTTGCAATTGGGAAATTATCGCTCGTTGGGGGTTGGAGAGCTAACCTCAACCAATTTAATGCTACTTGAAAAAAAAAAGAAAAAAACAGTTTTCATGTATTCATATAATGTACGAAATTATATATATATATAATCTTTAAGCGCATAAAAAGTATATTTATTATTATTATTTTAAAAATAAAATATATTTTTTCATGTAACAATTTATGTCAATTGAAAATTATGCTTAAATATCTCCTAAAATTGTATAAAAATTTAGTTTATATAGTCAAATTTAATTTTTTTCACTCTTTTCGAATGAAATGAAAGCAAGCCAAATCATTGTAATACTCTTCACTATTATGAAAATACTCTATGCAAAATAAAAACATTCAACGTTTGAGTCTGAAAAAGAAGAAAATATTACGTTTGAATATTTGTTTGTTCAGATGATAGTGTGAATTATATAATGTTCCTTATTGTTGAAATTTATAATAATGTGAAATACAAAATTATTTCTTTGATATGAACGGGGGTATAAATAACTCTTACAGGAATCCTATAATAGAAAAAATAATAAAAAAAATGATATGAAATAAAAGTTATATCACTTAACATCTTCAATAATCAATTCATATTAATTATTAGGAGATATATTAAATAACATAAAATATGAAAAAAATAATAATTTTTAATCTAAATAAATAAATATAAAATAGGAAATGAAAGATCTATTTAATCTAAAGAAATAATTTTGTTTGAAGTTAAAGTAAACTAAAAAGGAATAAAATCACATTGATTTGTTGCTTGATTGTGAATTTAGAGCCATTTATTTGAGTTTTAAATCCTTTTTATATAAAAAGAACCTCTAAATTCATCAATCTGAATTAAATGTGTTGGACAGAACTCAAGCAAGTCCTATCTAGTTCTATTTTTTCATCAGATTTTTACTCCTGAAGTTTTGCGTTGTTACTCTCGTTTTGCTTGCTTGAAGAAATTCATGCCAATGATAGAAAAAAAGAATGGTGTGAGACTATTATACAAGCCCCGGTCATTCCCTCCCAATGCGCCTAACAATTCGAGTACCACACCCTCTACCGGAGGAAATTGAACCCCAAACTAGAGGGGACTTACAACTGGCAAGCAGATGCCCGACCAACTGAGTTGAGTATGTGGCGTATAAATACATATATATATTCCAAAAAATCAGACAACAGCTTTCTTACAAACACTGCACTTTAAATTTTAGAAGTCAAGTGTATATATATATAAAAGCAGCTTGTATGATTCAACTTGGATGAGGTAGAGGACATAGCTGTCCTAATAGCAGTGTTTCCACAAACCTTGTTTTTCATATTATTTGTTGAAGAATTTAATTTTTTAAAAAGACATAGTAGAAACCTTTCTTAATAAAACAACATTTTTTGGCAAAATAAAATAAAACCGACAAACTCAATCAAAGGACAAACTTCTTATTATTGTATCGATTTTGTTCTTTTTTAATTTCTTATGTTTTGGCGTGAAACGGTGATTTGGGTATGTAGATCTCAGGATGTATTTGGTGCAGGTTTTCAACTGTAGCACAGCCCGCTGTCGTGGTTTTGTTCGTTTGGTTGGCGCGTTGCGGGCGCGTTTTACTAAATCCGCCCGATAAGCTGCACCGCGATCCCGTCCGAGCTTCATTATTATTTGGCATTCTTTACCTCGTGCCCTCCCTCCCACTTGGCCTCGGCGCCCCGCAAGCGGTTTGCTTAGGGTTTTTTTCTCTACTCCTTCTCTTCGCTTGCCGACGTATTTGCATAGGTTTTTGCCGGCGTTTGCCTCATTCCTCTCCCCTTCATATCTTTTTTGTGGATTTGACTATGAGCTGCATGGTTTGCACAAAGATTTTTTATTTTTTTTTTGGATTTTACATAGCACCAGTGACTTCCTTTTTTTCTCTATTCTCGGTGCTACAACCCCAATCTTTTTATGTGCTTGTGATTTCAGTCGTTTTGTTGTGTCTGGTTGATGCATTCATAGCGTCGATTTCTACGTTCGTTTTGTTTTGTTTTTTGTTTTTGTTTTTTTTGTACGATTACGTACATATCACCCCGAAGGTTTTGACCTTTTTGCTTCCTTCTTCCTACGTTGATTTGTGATATATGAGTGTGAATTTGATAAATGCTCAGAGCGATATATGAACATCATTCTTTCGTCTGCTTTGCGTTTCATTAATATGGATTGGGATTTCATAAAAAAATTTGATATTTGAGTGAAAATATTGAGAAAAGGATGATAGTTGATGGTGCATTTGTTAGCACTGATTTTTAAGGTGTTGTGTATGTTATGAATATGGATTGAGAATTTCGGATGCAATATGGTTTTACGAGTAATGTTATGGCTGCTTCTTTTTCTGTGGGGATTTTAGAATGTTTGAGATGCTCCTTCTTATACATTGTTTAGGAAAATTTAGAAACCCATCACACAATTCTTGTGTGTTTACATTCATGGTTGCATCGAGTGATGCTAGCCATGTGGGTCTGTATTTTACTGCTTCACCATAATTTCCTTATGTTTATATAGGATACTGTAATGGTATTTATTTTGATATGGTTTTATTGATTTGAGCATTGTGTGCATAAATATTGAGGTCATTGTGCGAGATATGTAAATTCATTTGAACTATGTGTTGTATATGTAAATGAACATTGTTGGAAGATTAGATCTTGTGGGGTTGGTGTATGTTAGTTGGATGAAATTTTGCTAATACAATTTTTGGGGAAAAAAAGTTTGGCATGATTGGATTATTTGTGTGAACAATAAGGCCTATAACACAAATAAAATGTAAGTTTTGGGATATTTACTTAGCTATCTCAGGATTATTCCATAAAATTTAGAGAAATTTACAAACATAACACATGAATTATTGGGGTTGTGGTGTTTAGTGTATGGTTGGTGCGGGGGCAGTGGTGATTGTTCTGGACATGGTGTGGGGGCAGTGGTATTTAATGTGAGGATGGTGTGGGGGTGGTGTGGGCAGTGGTGTTTGGTGCGGGGGCAGTGATGATTATTGACTGTTATTAGTATTTTTTATTAATATTTTTTATGTTACTCACTGTTTAATACTCTTTCTATTTTTTATTTGTAATATTTGAAATGGATATTTGCTTTCAAGTATGGGATGAACTAATATGAATAATTCTATGATAAACAACATTGCAGTACATGGGCAGAATGATCATTTATCCAGAAATAGTTGCATCATGACTGTTATCAAATTACAAAAAACAAACAAACAACCAGTTTATTCACAACAACTTCCTACCACTGGTGTTGCACAATGACTTATTAATAAGTGCAACTGCCTCAAACAAATTCATCAGGAATTAGAATCTAGCAAATATTTAATTTGCTTGTAATGATTTTTTTTTGTTTTATTTAATTTTTATAATCATTACTTATAATTTAGTAACTTTTTTTACTAATCTTCAATCATTCATTTATGTAATGAGAAGATAACTTTATTCTCTTTATATAGTAAAAAAATAAAAAAAAATATTATAAATATATTATTCAATTAAAAATATACTTAGTATTGAATAATCATTGAAATTATTATAATTATTATTATCTTACAATTAGTAAAATTATTATTATAAAACTCTAGAATGATATTTTTATATGTATACTTAAGTGAAAATTTAATTAAAATAATAATGTTATGTTAATATTAATTTTTAAAACATTTACATATAATTGTTTAATTTACAGTAAATAATATATCAAGTGAATAATATTATTTTTATATAAGAATTTGAAATTATTTAGTGAGTAAATGATTTTATTATAAGATTATTAATATTATATAATTTATTAAGTGCTCATTCTAAATTTTGATATGAAATGTTAATTTTGCATATTTAATTTTTTTAAAAAAGTTTAAAATTTACAGAATATGTTAATTAAATATCTTAAATGGCTTTTACATACATATCACAAAATTATTATATTATTATTATTTTTATTTCTTAGGCTATTAAACTATCGTGTTTTAAATACAAGAAATCATATTTATCGATGAATCCATAAAATGCTAATTTGCGCAAGATTTTAATTTTCCTTTGCTATATATATACATAAGGAACTAAGACTGAATACATGGAATGTAATAATAGTAATAGCTCTAGTGAGAGAAGTGTGACTTTGGGTGATGAAATTATTAAAAGGTGTGAACGATTTAGATATCTTGGGTCCGTTGTTCAAAGCAATGGTGATATAGATGGGGATGTTAATAATAGAATTCAATTTGGCTGGTTGAAGTGGAGGAATGCTTCGGGCCATTTGTGTGATAGAAAAGTACCGCTAAGACTAAAAAGGAAAATTTTATAAGACGGTGGTGAGACCTGCAATGCTCTATGGCGCTGAATGTTGGCCTTTAAAAGAGAAGCATAATAATAAGTTAAGTGTTGCCGAGATGAGAATGATTAGGTGGATGAGTGGCTTTACACTTAGAGACAAAATGCGAAATGAATATATTCGTGATAGGGTTGGTGTAGCTCCTGTGACAGACAAAATTAGAGAAAGTCGTCTTAGATGGTTTGGTCACATTAAACGTCGACCATCTGATGATCCGATTAAGAGAGTAGATGTTTTAGATTCGACTTGTGTTAAGAAAGACAAAGGTAGACCTTAGAAGACTTGGGCTTATTGTATTAAAAATTATCTTAATTTACTAGAACTAAATGAAAATATGACACTAAATGGGGCGCAATGGAGTAAAAGGATTCATGTAGCCGACCCCACATACTGAGATTAAGGCTTTGTTGTTGTTGTTGTTGTTGTTGTTGTTGTTGTATATATATACATAAGGAGTCTCGGATATTAATACAAAATAGTGTAATATTTATATTAATTTAAATTATGTGAAAGGTAGTTTTATAAAAAGACTTGGAAAAAAAAAAACAACTTTTAGTTTCTTTCAAGTTCTTGTATGTTTCAATTTATGCGAGAAATATAACTCTGCTTCGGATTTAAATTGTACCGTAAGCATTTACATTGGTTTCGGGCTTTGATTAAAGATAACTCTGTTTTTCTCTCTTTCTTTTTTATCTATATTTTCCAATATTTGGCATGAGAGCTAATTTCAGATTGAAGTGAGCGCTGAAGTTGTTCAGAAATTTCAGGCAGTTGTTTTAGGACAGTAAGTAGGCTTCTCTCATTCAATGGTTAAGGAAAAATTTTGTCTCGTGACAATATGTGAGATCAACACTACTTCTCTATCTATTATTTTTATTTTCAATAGTGAAAAGCATGAGTTTTGGAGTATCAAAATTAAGCAAATCACAAGGTTTGAGGGTTATTGTGATGCACGGATTGCAAATAGAAAAAATATGAAAGGATAAATTACAAGGACAAGAGGAATGATTCAATGGCTTTGCTATTAATTCAACAAGTCATGTTTGATCGCTTTTTTTCATAAATTTCTATGTCATCAAAAGAAGTTTGGGATACTTTGGAAAAAGAACTTTATGGCTTTGCAAGTGTAATAGCGTAAAACTGTAATTTTTACGGCGTGAATTTGAAACCATGAATATGGATGAAGGGGAAAGTGTTCAAAATCATCTTTCTCGAGCATCAAAAGATGCAAATAAGCGATGATCATTCAAAAGTTTACGAACATCGATATTTGAACTTAAAATATTATAAAAAATATATGTGACAACTTATGCCATTATTATAAAATATAAGTTTCAAATAAAAGTCACGTTAATGTGGGCAATAAGAGATTTTCATGCATATGAAATGCTATTTGGATGGAGCACTATGGAAAAATTACCTTGTTCATATCATATGAATCTATCAAATGCATTTATTTTAAAATATTTTAGAAAAAAATTATGATATGTCCATCATTCATTTGAAATCTCTACTCGACCACTATTACTCCATCAAATGAAAATGATATATAACATATCATTTAAATGTCAAATAAATATGTAAGTATTAGACATTTCAATACTTAAAAAAGCCGAAATACTTGGCATATAAATATAAAAAATTTAAAATAATGTGATTTTTATGTAATTAATTTTAGAAGACATCGAAAATCTTCCGTTCCCTTGCCTGTGCAGTCCGAAATGATAGGACTGCGTTTGATTTTGTCGGCGAAGCCGCAGTGGGCTGAGCTGCGAGCCAAGCTCGTCTCTTTGGTAGTCGTGCTGCTCTCTCACGTAGCGCTCGCTATGGTTCCCCGACTATTCTCTTTCCTCTCACTCCTCGCTGTGCTCCCAATCGCAGGTTCTTCTCCGTCGCTTTCCTTTCGCTTCTCCCACGCTCGTTATATTCACCTTCTACGGAGGAACTGCCTTTTGCAACTTTATGTGGGGGGTTTATAATCAATATTGTTGCAGCTTTGGTCATGGTGTCAACGTACGCCTTTGCTGCGTGGTTGAGGCGGCTTTTACATATGAGGGCTTCGGCTCCAGCCATGGTTATTAGCCATATTTTGTTCATTTGGGGAGTTCACATCACAGTTGTTCGTGTAGGTGAGATCTCTTTCCTTCTCATGACTCTTTTCTTTATCTAATTACATATTCTTTATTTTTATTTTTTGGTTGTTTTAAACATTTATTGTTCTGCTTTGAAAAAGAAAGAGTAGGAGCCAATGTTTATTGATACACCTCAAACAAATCTCCTTAATCCTGCATGAATCTTGAGGCAATTCATAGATCTGAAGACAATATTTTAAGCAAAAAACATTCAAACTTCAATTAAGAGTTATCTAAGCTTTGATTTCAGTAAACTTACAGTTAAACTGATCGGCTCGACGAGTTATCCAAAGCGGTATCAAAATAGGTCAAATTCGAACCAAATCAAGCCCTCATCAAGACTTTAAACAACTTTTGGAAGCTTTCCAAACATATTTAAAAGGTTAAGAAGATGCTAAATCTAGCGAGCCTACAATTAAATCTAGCATCTCAACATGTAGAATCCAACGAACTCAAGATCATTCGATTTCGACATCATTAAGACACTCAAATGTCCATCAAACGTCATTTGATTAAAGTAAGCTTCCAGGTCGTCCGATCAAAATGGTTCGTATTCCTGCATTAATTGCACCCAGAACTTTATAAATTACGGCCCATTCATCTCATGGGAGAGGGGAGAGAGCTTGAAGCTTGAGGAGAGCTTGAGGCTTGAGGAAAAGCTTAAAATTTTGAGAAGAAGCTGAAGTCCAACATCACTCCTTCACCGTCGAGCTCGGTCGACCACCATGGACCACTGCCTGCCAGTCGCCACCGGTCGCTATTGTCGCCCGTTTCTTGCAACGCACTTCGACATTGTAATTCAGAAGACTTGGTAACTTTTTTTCGTCTATGAGACAAGGGGTATATGTTATCATCAACTTATAGTGAATTTTTACAACTAGAATATACTGCTGTGGCTTTTTCCCTTTCTGGGTTTTCCATGTAAAAACTTTTTGTATCTCAACTGATTGTTTATTTCACGTGAGTATGTAATGAATCTTCGTACCATGCTAAGAAGATAATATATTATTCTACTGCTACAAATTTTTTATCACGCCTCAGTTCGACGTCGTCTGTGTGAAAAGAACATTCCCATCACTGAAGTACTTGCGAGACTTGCTGCATGGCCACTAATCGCAACACTTGCAACAACGGAGCATCCCAATCTAATACCCATCTCTCCATACGAAAGACACCGAGTCAAGGACGTAAGGCTCTACATCCTACCACTTTGGAACATGTCATCCTACTAACGAAGGTGCCTTGAGTCCTTCTATGAAAGACCGAGTACACAAGATAGAGTCATCTCAACTGGAGATTTTACAAATCTTACACGGGGGGAGACAACCGCAACTCAATAGAGCTTACTTACAAACAATTCAACATTCAATAGGAAATACCCCACTCACCGAGTTCTCTCCCAGTGCTGAAACCATCATCTGCCGAGACGGGGCGTCGATCTTCTTGACATTACAAGTTCAACTCATCTGCCTCATGCAACTCACCTAGCACCTCCTCGCCTTAGCGTTGCTTCTGTTGATATCATCAGTGATGAGCTACGACGTTTGGTTCGAAAAGAGTTCCCTATAGATAAAAGAGATCGCTTTCTTGACTTTATTGTGTCGATGATTAAAATCCATTTTACTAAACTTTGTTGATGTACTCATACATACATAAAATTTTAATTTATTCAACTGACTTAAGCATGATTATTGATGTACTATTACATGCAGCGATTCCAAGCCTACTGGATGCTGCTCTGAACATGGAATGCGTTCTGCTCTTGATTGGCCTTTACAGGTGAGCTCCTTCTTGTGTTTTGCCCCAATAATTTATTTGACATGGTATACTACTGGCATATAAAAAAATGGTGGAATCGCTTCTCATTTATAGGTCTTCACCTTGTTTTAAAAGAAATTATCTGTCTGCTTGAAGAAAGAAATGCATTTTTAATTAGGGAAAATTATATACATAGCACCTGAAACATTGCTATTTACACAATCTAGCACCCAATTGATATTTTTGAACTATCGAACCAATGTATGTACTTGCACCACGATCAAACCATTGAGAATTTGATAAAAATGAAAAATATGAGTTGGGGTTTTATCATGACTTTTGAGATTTGAGTGAGAAATTGAGAAATGGATGAAAGAGGGTGCTAGATTTGTAAATAGCAATGTTTCGGGTGCTATGTATGTAAACAGCCCTTTTAATTATCACTTTCACCTGTTGTCCTTAACCTACTTTTAGCAACGATTCTCTGTTTATGCTGGCTCCATATAATTGGGATAAGACTGAGAATGGTGGTAATGTTGATGCTCCATGTCTTTTTTGTATTAAATTATTTAGCTGAAATTGCTTGAGTTTGTATTAAAATATTTATTTGCTGGGACCAAATTCTAGTTGCCACCCTCAAACATGCAATCCTTTCCTGCAGAATTTCTTATGGTGATCCTGGAATTGTGGCAATTAAATCAACTTGCTCTGGAGCACTTGGACAAACTGATATTTCAGAATTTCCAAACGAGGTTTGAGAGTTGACAGTGAATTCATGAATCATAAAGAAATATGCATTTGTAATTTATATTATAACTGAAATTTACCTTTTGTCTTTGAGATTGTTTCAGAGTAATACATTCAGACCTTCATAATTATTGATAGATTTTGTAAAAGTTTTACTCATAGTTTGTGATTTATAGATTCTACATTCAAATGATTAACAAGTTTGCACATTACATGATCAAGATATTGTAAGCAAACATAGATCTAGTTGAAACGCTATGCATGACAATTTATCTAGTAGTGTTGTTGGATAAGGTAGCAAGAACAATTAATAACAACAAGGCTGATTTTGTTAGAAATGAGGATGCTAAGATGAATATCTGTGGATATTATGAATAATAAAATATGAAATGATTGTATAGAAGGTATTGGGATTTGGTAGTAGAACCTATTGAAGTTAATGTTATAGAGATTTGTGTTAGGGTATTTTGTCTCATATAATGGGGGCATAATTGCATTAATATAGATGATTGATGTAGGACGTCTTAGGGTCTAAGGCTTCTCATGCATTTTTAATATGCAGTGTAAATTTAGATACAACCAAACAATACACCAAACATGCAATTTTTGGAAGACAGTTAGTCTTAAAATTACTTAGTTTTGATGAAAATTAAGAAAGACATAAAATTTAATTCTAACAAAAAAGTTCTTCCCTATAGTGAAAACTAATGATACGAAAGTTGAGGACATAAAATATTTCATGCATAAGATTGAAATTTGTTACTTATTGGTTCAATATATTTGAAAAGGAACGCTTAAAATATTTCTATGGAGATCAGAGGACTATGATGCTAGCTTTGTATTTGTAAATTTATATGCCACCTCATTGATTTATGTGATTCCCTTTCAGATGGCTAGGGTTTAAAGGGTTTGAAAGGAGACTTTCATGCAGACATGAAGGGTATCATCAGTTCCCTACGACGTAACAGGGAGCTGCTCCCGCTTGTCCTCTGGACCGAATTGGTCTGGACCTAGGAGAGGGTCGATTGGTTCTTCCACATGGGTTTGGTGTCTTCTTTCCATAGGGGGATGCAATCTTAGTTGTTAGGGCTTATTTATGTGTTTCCTTTGTTTTAGATTTTCAGTTTTGTGATTGTTTTGTTCAGACAACCGTTAGTGTTCTAGTTTCTCTGTTCTAAGGCTGTATCCAAAGCCGGATGGTGCTCTAAATGTTGCTTCTTTGAGGATGTGACCTTCTCTTTCAAGGGTTGAGTGGTGCTTCAACTGTAGCTCTTCCCCGAGGGAGTATTTATTCTCTATCTCCCCTTCCCAACATCCTCCGCTTCACTGCTACATCTCTTTTCTCTCTGCAGCCACCCAGAACATACATCGTTGCTGTTCTTTCCTGAAGTTCCCCTCTTTCCAGTTACCTCCCTTCAACATTCTTTTCTGTCCTCCTTCTGAATCAGATGCTAGTCCTCCCCCTTGCTGTTTCCGACAGCCCACAAGCTTCCTGCCACCCCAAGTCTTACGTACCTCACCTTCCAGGCTTGCGGCCAGCCCTGCACAACCACCTAACACTTGTTTTCCCCACTTTCCAGCCTGATATCTTTGACGCCACCTCGTTCTCTTTGCTGTCGTGGTTCGGAAAACAATAACTGTTGTTCTGTCGCCCTCCTAGCCACTCTATGCTTATTGCCACCCCCAAAGCAGCCAGCCAAAATCCCTTCCCTGCTACATCTACCACCTTCCAACCAAACAATTATAATCATCTAACATCACTTCCAAACCTCTAATGGCCGACATTATCTTAGATTCGCCCGTGTGAGTTTATGTGTCATTTTTATTGTATTTTCTCTTTCAAGTGTGTGTGATTGTAACCACCTATTTGTTTTCCATAATATTATTTGCCTTTTCTATTACAGTTCGGCTTAACTTCGATGTCATTTGGTATCAGAGCTAGTCTAATCCTAATCCTAACCCAGGATTTTCAGCATCCGCCATACCCAATCCTATCTTCACCCCTGAGAAAAATTTTCCCCTCTTCCACTCAAATCACGCGTACACTCTACATCATTCATATACACCTCTTCCACATACCCAAACCTCAAAACCAAACCGCGACACCACTAAGACAAGTGTCAGAAGCTAATCAGAAGTTTACCATGGAAGAGATATAACGACAATTCTATCGAGTGCTACTAGGATTTCATAAGATTGAGGAAAAGAGACGATTCAGTTGGGTCACGCCAACTCCATTAGATTATAGAGATGAAGTGTCTGTTAGAGGATAGAGAGATAAGGTGCTTATTAAAGGATACAAATGTAAAGTACGTCATAGAAATTTCAGAAATGAAGAGCCTCTAACCCGAACATTTGACCTAAAATATATGAGAGCCAAAATTTTGAAGTAATAATGAATTTGTCATATTTCGACAGTTACATGGATCTGTGTGAGATCATCAGAGTGACTATGGGCCTTGGAATGTGTCTTTTAAGTGCCAGGACATCGCATTGGATGTAGTTGTAAAACTATATGCTAGCAAGTTAGGGAAGAGTGCATTTCAGTGGTGGACAAATTTGAAGATTTTTTGACAGCGAGAAGGAAAAAGTAAAATTACTATATGGTTTAAGATAAAACGGGAGATACAACATCAGTACATACCATTTCACTACAGACTGAATGTTCGGACCCGAGCTTCAAAAGTGAAGAGATCACATCACCGAGCGACCACCATATCTCACAAGAAGAGTTCAATCCCAGGATCTTATAGCTAGAGTACACCTAAGGGAACATTGAAGCCGCCCTGCTTGAGGAGAAACTAATTCAGAGTATAGAATATGTGGAGCAAACCATTAATCATGAAGCTATTCCAGCTAAAAAGTGTTTCAAGTGTCACAAGTTTGGGCATTTCGAGTCAAATTGCAGAATAAGGGGAATGATCTATTTGGCAGAGTATGGCGTTGTTGAGAAAATGAGGAATGACAAGGTAAAAGCACAGAGTACCAACTTCAAACTGCACATAATTTGAGCTAAGTCTATAAGAGAAACTTTGACTGAATTAATAATGATTGTCCAAGACGGCCTTGAGTTCGAGGAACCAACACCCGAGGCATAACAACCCCAAATAAGATAAATTTAGGTTTTTCAGATCTATAGACTCCTTCCTAAGTTGCCCCTACTAAGGGAGGTCCATCATATCATAAATGAGTTCATTTTATGGCGCATCTGGAAGATTAAATGGAGTTGTTCGACTATTTGATTCACTCAGTAGTATACTCACCATTAGATGTCCAAATAGGAGGTATGAACCACAGCTTTGAAAATTATATTAGGAGATCTTCAATAGGATCCAGATTCTATCTGAGAAGAAGAAGAGACATCTCCTGAGTGGTTGCTAGTGAGAGTGACACAATCTGTCACATTTTTTCTTCCAGAGCTGATTTCTCATCACATACTTGTTTGTAAGCTACATTCCGCTGATTACAAAAAGTGTAAGAAGGTTTCAGACTTAATGACTCAAGAGTTACATTGCGGGAATCTACATTTATATGCAACTCTGGCTCAGGATGCGTCAAAAGAGGATGCATATTCATTCTATCAGGACGCATTGTAGAGTGTCAACACCTTTAGGACAGACTTGTTAGAAGATTATGCTATTTCAGGTACTTTCAGTGAGGCTAACCTTACTACTATGAGTAGATAAAAACTTTAACAAATGAGGTCGAGGCCTACCAATCCTAGGAGACTAACGCGGGCGCAAAGTGAGCCGCGGCTTCCCACGGTGTAATCGGAAGCCGCTCCCTCTCACGTAATATCGTTCTTCTGGATTGAATTGGTTTAAACCTGAGAGGGCCTAACAACTCTTCCACGTTGATTTGACACTTTTTCATAAGAGGATCTAATCCTAGTTATTTAGGGCAGTTTTGTGATGTTTCTGTTCAGGATAAACGTCGGCGTCTCAGTTTCTCCCTTTTAAGGCTGTATCTAAAGGCGGGCGGTGCTACGACTGTAGTTTCTCCTAGAAGGTGACCCTCTTCCAAGGGTTGAGTGGTGTTTTGATTGTAGCTCGTCCCCGAGAGGGAGTATTTATTGTTGACCTCGGCTTCCTTGCATCCCTCGCTTCATTGCTACATCTCTTTTTGCTTTGCAACAACTCGGGACAGCCACCGTGGCTGCTCTTTCCTGAAGTTCTCCTCTTTCCAGCTACCTCCCTTCCATGATCTTTGCTGCCCTCCTCTTGAATCAGACGCTAGTCCTCCCCCTTGCTGTTTGCGGCAGCCCACAACCATTCAACCACCTCATTCCTTGCGTACCTCACCTTCTAGGCTTGCGGCCAGCTCGACACAACCACTCGACACTTGTTATCCCCACTTTCCAGCATGCTCTCTTGGCCAACACCCTGTCTCCTTTGTTGCCGTCGTCGTCTGGAAAACAGTAACTTGTTGTTCTTTGGTCCCCCCATCCTCCCAACGCTTGCTACCAGCCCTAAAACAACGACCCAAAATCTCTCCCTTGCTACAACCGCCACTTTGCAACTGCCACCCAACCATTCCAAAAATCTACCACCACTTCCAAATCCCTAACGAAGACCACCACCACCATATATTTGCCGTAGTTTGAGTTTGCGTGCCGTGTTTGTTATATTTTTACTCTCAAGATAGGTTAATTGTGGCCACTTATTTGTTTTCAGTAATAATATATATATATTTTTTTTGTGGTTCAGGTTAACTCTGTTATCCAACTTAGCTTGTGTTTGTAAGCTTTTGGAGGCTCCCATGGCATACTTTTTTAGCTAGGTTAGGATTTTTTTGTGTATTTGTGTGAAGAAGCTTTCTCTTACCTTGGTGACATGCCACTATTTGGAGAAAATGTATTATTCTCTAAACTTACTACATAAGCTTATCATCTTCTTGATGTTAGGAAATTTAATACTGAGAAAAAACTTCTTGCTTATTGAGAGTGGACGTACTTCATATTTGATGTGCGTGTCTTCATGTGTGCATTATTTTGCATGCTAGAAAT